GTCTTCCGTCACCATTTCTAAAGTTTTGATGAATTTTCTGTGGATGATTCGGTTCGTCGATTATCCTATCAATCACAAAAAAAAGATTATTTCAAGTTCTTAGAAAATTGTCATCTCCCAAATTTTGCTGGATAACTCTAGGAATATGTTTTAATGTTGTCTTAAAATTTTTTTATATTAAATAATTATTTTTTAAATTAAATAAAAATAGCACACACACACACACACACACACACACACACAAAGCAATGTTAGACGTATGTAAATATGTATGTAAATATGTAATTACTAAACACAATCGTATTTTAAAATGAGATTCAAATAATAAACAGAATATAATTGATTAAATCGCTCAATTATGGATTCTCTTTCACTAAAAAAATTGTTTAGAAACATGACACACTTAACAACTGTAATTTGAATGCAATTTGTATCATTATTTATGTGTCAATCGTGTTACTTACCGCTGACTGACTTACCGCTGAGTTTACCAAAACACAATAAGCTTAGTCATTACTTTCATATATGCTAGCATACTACTCAAACAATCCATTAAATTGAAAAGATCATCGGAATGGAAATGTGTTTGAAGGTATCGATAATGGTAGAATTGAACAATTATTATTGAGATAATCCAAAATATTCTGCATAACAGAATGCACAAAGTATCTGGCCATATTCCGAATAAAGTGAACATAACTTCAATTATGCGATTAATCGTACTCTTCCGTATCATAATATTCTGTTTACTCCCCTTTCTGTACAAGAGCGAGCACATCAAAATGTATAACAAATGCTTTTAATGAAGCAAAAGGAAACACAATGAATTTGATCATGTACTTCCGCCAGATGTACGTTTCGATGGATCAATGTGCATCGCAGAGAATTGCTGGGTAAAGACTGGGCGTACCTAAGAGGTCATCACACGAATTTACCCTTGAATTGTCGACCAATGGAAAAGAAACTCATTAAATATTTTCATCGTACTGCGTGCAGACCACCCATACATCTGTCGTGGGTCCTGACAATTTTAATAAAAAGAAGGAAACCGCTGGGACCATCTCTCTTTTTTTCGAGGGCCGATGATGCGGTCGCAAATTGCTCGCTTTAAATAAGTAATGAAACGCGTGGGCATAGGTACGGTATACACGGATTGCGATACACGGAGCCGCGCTCAGCGAGCTTTGAAAACATTTTGAAGTTTGGAGGGACGAAAGAAAATAACATAAAATTAAATAACTGCATATCTGTATATCTATCTTTGCATATAATATATTCTTACATTGCGAACTTTCAGGCGAGACCCATGATTTGTGTCTCTCCATAAGAAATCGACATATGGTATATGGTATACTTTAACAGAGAAATTTATTACATTATAGCTTTTCATGCCATGTTTTCACATAAATTATCTTTATCTATTCTAATTATCTTTATATAATTTGGAAAAATATGCAATATTACAATGTGTGTTAGTGTAACTAGTGAAGGCATATTTACATGTCGCCTCTGTACACGCTTCTACGCAAGACATATATATATATATTATATAAATAAATATATTATATATATAAATTTATTATATATATATATATATATA